CTGTTGACTGTTATTAAGATCCTGAAGAAATTGTTTTAGAAACATGTACAGAATTGTTCGCGCCAATGACGCAAAATACACGAAAATAGGAAACACGTACCTGCTGGAACTACACAAAAAAAAAACCTACTGGATTAACACACAAAGGAAAGTAACGGAATAGCAATAGACATATTCTTAACCAGTAAATATCAGTAGATAAGGAGTGACATAACCACCGAGTTACCATCTGAACATCGGTGTACAAAGAGCGACGCTCCAACCCCAAACCTCCTTGACCCCCTCGACCGCAGTCCGGACCGGGGACTTCCTGGGCCGCTCCTTGGCTGCGTGCACCGCTGCCCTGCCTCCTGCCTTCGCGAGCCCGCTGGGCCCGCTGATGCGAGGTTCCCCGGTGGCTGTGCTGTACGGCGGGAATAGCGGAGGTGCGTATTGCTCCTGGATGTGGCTTTTTGGGGTGGGCCGCTCCTATGTTGCGAGTACTGCTTCCCTTTCCCGCTCTCGCGGGCCCGCTGAACCGAGGTTTCGGTGGCTGTGCCTTGGTTTTGGCGGGAATGGCGGAGGTGCGTGCTGCCCCTGGACGTGGAACACGAACTCCCTGGACTGGGCTGCGACCCTGCGGGCGATGAGGTTTGGAGATTTGTTGGACGCGCCTTCTGCGCTCCCTTCATTTCATATACTAACTAGTGCTTATTAATTTTAGTAATCTATAAACAAATAAATAAATAATTGTGTAAAACTTTCCATATCCAGTTGGTATATCATGGTCATAAATTTTAATAATCACCTAGACAAGACATTTTGTAATCAATCATGTAACCCAAATTTAAAACACTTTATTACCAGTCATAATCAGTTGCGCAAAATTCTTGTTTATAATCAATTAAGCAACTCTAATATTAAACACTTTCTAGGTATTGTAAAGAGATCATTGTCTTAGCTTTAGCTATCAAAGTTTTAGTGCATAACACATTTCAACCATCGGGCTGGCCGGGTGGCTAAGTTAACATTGTTAGCTTCCCTTAACATAACCAACTTACTTCTTCAACTATGAAAAGACAATGTAAGATATTAATACGAAAACCAATGGCGCAAAACTCTGTATATAATCAATTATGTAACTCAACCTTAAACATTTTATAACCAGTTATAATCAGTTGTGCAAAATCCTTGTATATAATCAATTATGTAACCCAACTTTAAGAATCAATGGCGCAAAACCCTCTGTATATAATCAATTATGTAACTCAACCTTAAACATTTTATAACCAGTCATAATCAATTGCGCTAAACCCTTGTATATAATCAATCATGTAACCCAATTTTAAAAACACTTTATAACCAGTCATAATCAATTGCGCAAAATCCTTGTTTATAACCAATTAAGTAACCCTAATGATAAACACTTTATAGGTATTGTAAATAGATTTTCGTGTTAGCTTTAGTTCATCATAGCTTTAGTTATAATCAGTTGCGCAAAACCCTTGCATATAATCAATCATGTAACCCAACTTTAGAAACACTTTATAACCAGTTATAATCAATTGCGCAAAACCCTTATTTATATCCAATTAAGTAACCCTAATGTTAAACACTTTATAGGTATTGTAGATAGATTTTCGTGTTAGTTTTAGTTCATCATAGCTTTAGTTATACACAATTGCGCAAAACCCTTTGTATACAGGAATATTTTTTTTCCAGTGCAAAAATTTTTTTTGGTGGTTCAGTATCAGTAATAGAACACTTTTCCATAATTAGTTAAAAAATTTTTTTTAAATATTTTTATCCCTATCGAAACGGTAGAATATGGACACATTTTTTAAAATAAAACTTCAATGAAAACGTCTTCTCTTGCGTATACCACCGTGCATCCCCGCCGCGAACGGTAGCCCCCCGTAACAGCCCCCACCGCCCCGCTGGGACCGAGCGACGCGCGCGGCAGTGAGACTCATACGCACGCGCCGATGTGACGTGCCCTCGCGTTCCCGCGCACGCGACGCGCCCGCCGTCGTGAGTTTTACGAGATGTTACGAGTTTATCTTCTAAGTGGTGAAAACCTACATAAGCGCAATTCGGAGAAAGTATGCGACGAAGAGCATATCTCGTATGCGGGCCTTTGGGATCCGTAACCCCGCGGTCCCTAATGCTTCGATCCATTTTAACAGACGAAGTCCCAGAGTCAGTACCCACGATGCGGCATGTCTCTTTGGTGTGAGCCAGCCTGCGGTATTGAAGCTGCTAAAAACAGCCGGACTCCATCCGTACCACTTTCAGTCGGTTCAACAGTTCCATGACCTAGACCCAGTACCACGTTGAGCCTTATGTGAGTGGCTTCTACATCACCGCGATGCAAACATCTTGTGGACGGATGAGGCATTGTTCACACGTGAGGGACTCTTTCTTATGGGAAGAAGTCAAACGCCGAGATGTTGAGGAGGCACAAAGTCTAGAAGACCTAACAATAAAAAATAATAACGCTTTTAGTGAAGTGAAAAGTGACACTAGTGTTTTAAACAAATTAAATGACAATTTAATGAAATGTGCACGTTTATGTCTGGACAGACGTGGACTTCATTTTGAACAAATGTTAAAATACATGGTAAGTAATTAGTTAGGTATTTGTTTTGATCCAACATTATTGTAAATACGTAGTTGATTCTAATTTTTTTAAATACGCCTTAACGCAGAAGTACCTATGTAACTTCGGCATAACGTTAATATTTTTTTCTAGGTAACGAATTTGTTTCTCTCTTATTTTTTTGCATTGTGATGGCCTTAACCATAAAAGTATGAAGGGAAAATTGGAATTACTCTTAGAAATCACCTCAGATCATGGCATAAAATCTAGTTCGAATCTAACAAAATGAGCGGCCAGTGACCCGTGTACAGTCTGTCTATAAAGTCATGAAAAAAATTGAGGGCGCTACGATCGTGCACGTAGCAACCCTGTGTAGTGAGACAAATGAGTTTGATAGTAGGATATTCTTTATTTATAGTAAAATAAAGCGGATATATTTTTTTACTTGTGGACGCCTTTAATTTCCACAGAAAAAGAAAAGACTTATATTTCGTAGACATACAAGATTATTCTACATTCAAAATTACAATATGGTAATCATAATTTCTGATAAATATATGATTCGTGTGTAATAAATAAATAATCGAAAAAGATTACAACAATCTTCAGCCCTGATCTGAATATTCCTAAATGTAATCGTTGAACATGATTACATTTTAGCTTCATGCATTTTACCCATTTCTCTATGAAACTAACTATATTTCTATGGCAAATTAATGCTAACTGCCGTTCAAATAAAATGAGTGAATAAAAGTAAAAAAATAAAAACAAATGTAAAATAAAAATAAGTTTAAAATTTATTTTTTATTTTTTTAATGGTTTTTTTATTTATTAAGATATTCAAATTAAAATCTTAAATATTAAGTATCATTTTCACTATCAGATTCCAAGTACTCTACGTTCAAAAAAGTATTTTCATTATCGGCTGCATCATCATCAACGTCTTCGCTACTACTATCGGTGGTGCTGCTATCTTCGCCAAGGCGAATGACTAAGTCATCTATATCTTGATAAAGGGTTCTTCCTCGTTCATAATATTCTTTTTCAATATTTGCAACATGACTGCAACAGTTCTTCCATATTTCAGGTGTAATACTGTTGAAGGCCTCTTCAGTAAGTCGCTTCACATCGCGTGATCCAACATTGTGTTGTGCTACTTTTTGTTTAACTTGAGCCCAAATGAGCTCTATGGGATTTAAATCGCAGTGATACGGCGGAAGCCGTACCACTGTATGCCCATTTTCTTCCAAAAGTTCGTCAATAATGTAGATGGGCCGTGGTTTGTATTTTTTTACCAAATTCAGTAAGTTTGGCTTCCTAAGTGTAGGATCAAAGTCAATACCATTTTCCAAAAGCCAAAGTTTTATTTCATCTACGCGAGATTTTGAGGTAGGCACTTTATTTTTGACGACGGAGTGGTAAGGGGCATTGTCCATGACAATGATCGATGGCTCATGCAGGTTCGGGATAAGCTTCTCCGTGATCCACTTAGTGAAATTGTGGGCATTCATCTCAGAATGATAGTCCTCAAGCTTGTTTTGTCCACTAAATGTAAGTAGACAATTGGGCACAAATCCCTTTTCACTTCCAGCATGGACAATTATAAAACGCTTTCCTTTAGAAATATTTTCTGTAACACCTTCCACATTTAATGATTGCCAACATTTTCGAACCTGGTGAATAGAAATGGCACTTATTTATACAGAAATACATTCTATTTAAATGAAGATGAACAAAAACAGAAAAAAATACCTTATATGAAGAATGTATGTAGCTCTCATCAAGATAAATTATATCTTTTCGCAATTCTTCTGGCAAATCTCTATTTTTTTTTATAATTGCCAAGTAGTCTTCTCGTTTTGCTGCAATGTGTGCTTGTTCGATTAAAGCCTTTCTGTTATTTTGACACTTCTTGTAAGAAAACCCAATCGATATCAGAATTTTACGCATTACTTCTAGGCTACAATCAAAATCCAGATCGGTTTTAGCAATCAACTGAAGTTTTCTTAATGTAGGTACCTCTTTTTTCACAGAGTAAAAGAACTGAATCTTTTGTCGAAGTGCACAAATGTTGAAGTTATCCATTTCTTTCTTAGGACGACCTGATCTATGTTTTCCAGGGGTTTCAAATTTGCCACCATTTTGATAGCCTTCATCTACAATACGCCTCACTGTACTCTCTGATTTTCCTGAAAGTAAGTTTTAAAAATGTAATATATTTGGCAGGAAGAATGCAATCCCCATAATGACCTAAATTAGTGCTATAAGTTTAGTGATATAAAGCACAACTTTTTATTGGCGTACGTAGGTAGAAATTGTACATTCCTAACAGGTACCTTTTTTATTCAGATTAAAAGTCAGTGGTAAATTTGACCACTCAAAAGTATTAAAAGTTCGGGTCGCACTACAATATAGCTTTCTAACATTTTCATTCTAACCTATAAATGCGTAATGTAAACAATATTTATTTTAGACTTAAATTCATATATTTAGTGAATTTGAAACTTCTGGTAAATAAAACACAATGAGTAACACGATCACATACCAGTCATAACTGCCGTTCGAGCATAAACATCCTCCAAGTTTGATAAAATTTGTCCAGCTTCTTGTTCCAATAAACATCGCTGAAAAACTTTAAAAATAATATCCCGAGCTCCACTCCGATTAGTTTTCTTCATTTTTAACACTTTCCTTCGGAGTTAAGAAGAAGTAGATTGCAGTTTAATGAAAACAAATAAAAAATACAGAAAATCGAGTCATATAATAAAGTCTTTGACAGTCGCTGTACTTTGATTCAGTGTTGTCATACTTGTATCTAGCGTTAGTTCCTCAAACATTCTTTTCATGACTTTATAGACAGACTATAGATAGGTACCTACGAGTACATGCCTACGGCCGGCGTCGAGCGAGCGCTCAGCTGACGCACGGCGCGCGGTGTCCGTAAATTAAGTTTTAAAATCTTGATCTTTGATAAGCGATAACTTTATTTTTTAGTATTAGAACATATCAAAATAAAAAACACGTGTTTGTTTAAATTACTTAAAGTTTATTTTCACAAAATCTTCGCAGTGGTTTTAAATTATTCCTGTATAATCAATCAATTATGTAACTCAATCTTAAAATATCTTATAACCATTTATAACCAGTGGCGCAAAACTCTTTGTACATAGGCAATTATGCAACCCAACTTTTAAACAATACATAACCAGTTATAACCAATTGCGCAAAACCCTTGTATATAATCAATTATGTAACCCTAATATTAAAAACACTTTAACCAGTTATAACCAGTTATGTAAAGCCCTCTTTATATAATCATTGTTTGATTAAGATGTGAGGATAGTCATATATCATAATCAATCATGTAAATACTTTGTAAATACTTCGTGTAATTAACTCATTGTATATAATCATTAGGTCTAGTATTATTATTAGTGGCAGGAAAAAAAAAAAAAAAATTTTATACACCCACCATATACTCTTCTCCATTACTATACAACCAAGTTTATTTTATATCATACTTTTTACCAATTTTACAAACATCTTACTGCACTCTGTATTTTAACCAGCTTACCTGGATTTTCAATGTACTATTGAGTTAAGACCTATGCAAACTTGCATTATGCAACATGTATTAATACATCACATTATTTGCTTGTGTTCTCAAATGTATTTCCAGAATTAATACGGAGTGCTCACAAAGGCTCGGTTTACAGGGCATCCTACTTCCGGCCTCCCTCCCTCCTCTCCCACTTTTCTATTGGGAGGGATGGATGTGGAGAGAACGGAATTTCTCTTCTCTTCTCTCTTCTTTCTTTTCTTCCTTCTTTCTCTTTCTTTCTATTTATTTTTATATATGCATATATCCATAGCAATATGAGAGGCTGGTCGCGACACTTCATGTCGCGGAAGTATCACTCAGACCTCCGCGAACTTCCAGGTGCGTGGTCGCCGGGCCGCCCTCCCGTCCCGCGGCAGCGGCCACCTTGGTGGAAGTGACCGCGGGGTGGGGGGTCGGCCTGAAAAGCACAAGCTTGCGACCACGGCACCGGACACACACTCGGGCGCTGGGACCGCCCCGGCGCCCCGCGATCGCGCTCAACTCTTCTCATCCCGGGCGTGGTCGCGGGGCGGCAGGGCGGACCCCATACCCAGCGCCTGCACACACACACACACACACACACACACACTTACACTCTACTAACACATACACACACACTCATTCTTCATCTTCATCATCACTCATTTCTATCTCGGAAACGGGGGTTCTATCCTCATCTCATCCTCACTTTCTTCTTTCACCATTCTTCGACCTCCGTTTCCTCTTTTTTCACAAGCTATCCCCTTTCTTTCTCTCTACCTCTATGGGAGGAGGACCGCCGCTGGTTCAACGAGACGCTCCTCGGCCCCACCCTTCTCCCCTCATCAACTCACCTCACTCATCATCATACACTATACACTATACAGCTACACACCAACATTTCATCACTCATCAACCCTCTTCCAGGGATCAATTTGCCCTCTTCCAGGGAAAAGCAATAGTATGATCCCCCCTCAAAAGGGGATCTAAATCCATTCTATAGTAGCCGACGTATCCGTGTGCTCCCTCCACTTGCCGGGGAGGACACACATTCCGAGCGTACCCCCTCTTGCCTATGGGGGTACCACAATCAGTATTCATCACTCATCATCATCATCCTTCATTATCCTGCCCAATCAGTCCCAAGTCAAGTTTAAAAAAAAAAAAAACCTAACCTAAAGCTAAGATTTCCCAATGTACAATGGCGGACAGATCCGCTCTTTCACCCATAAGGTCAATATCGCTTGCGCTTAAGTTAACGTAAAAAAAAAAACCACTTGGTCCCTGGCACCCTGAGATGGGATTCGAACCCATGACGTTTTGTAATCCGGGCGATATTTGTATTAAGACGCTGAATAGTGCCAAATCGATAAAATTGATCTAGGATTGTACTAATTCACGGGAAACCTATGGCAATCCAAAAATTTGTGGTTATACTTGATCGTATTTCTGATCTTGTGGTTGAAACCGAAACATGATTGTATTAACTTCACTCGATAGAAAATAATTCCAAAGTAGCATCTAAAAATATTGCGAAAGGCACGTTTCTCAATTATGTGATACATTAGAGTAATGATATTGAGTACAAATATGTATCAAAGGTTGATATAAAAGTTGGTTATTCCCAATTTTTGATAATGTTATTATAATAATTAATATAATTTATTTTGTGATATGGCACATATGGTCATTTTTTTCAAGCAACTTTAAAGTATTGACATTTCTGTCACTCCTACTGCAATTGACAGGGAAGGCTATAGAATAACGCACACTAACTTAGTTCACGCTGAGGCGTGTTGCTAGATGGACCTATGTTGCTTTGTGCAGCGTTCTGACGTACAGAGATCGCTAAAATTGTAAAAAAAAGAACATTTAAAATAAGTATTTTAATTTCGCTCTCATTTTAACGATATCTTTGGTGTAATGTACTAGGGTAGGGACCCGAGTGTCTCGAAGTTGTAGGTTCTAATCCCACTAGAGCTCGCATTTTTTCAAGTCGTTTTTTTATTATTTTATTCTAATTTTCATTTTTTTTCTGCCATAATTTTAAAAAGCAACTTTTTTTTATTATTATTAAACAGTATAAAATGTGAAAATAAATATTTCTTTAGTATGACGTAGGCGAAAGTCAGACTGACATTTTCATACAAAAGCTCCGATATTGATGAAATAGTTCCAATAAAATACATGTTCGTGTTCCAATCCCATCAAAGAAGCATTTTTGTTTTACTTTTATCTTCTTTTTCCTAATATATTTTCCTCTCTCATTTTTTTATAGGTATATGTTAATCATTAATAATTCGTTAAAATAATTTTGAATATTATTTTATACAGTAATTAAGTATTATTTAATTATTTAGTCTAGTTGATAAATTTAATTGCTGTAAAAATATATAACATAAAAATTGACAATAGGTAAATATTTCCATAAAAGTATGTGTTTGCAAAAGTTTGACATTTTCATGCAAAAACCATCCCGTAGACCGTTACTCTAGTAAAAAATAATTCCTAATCAATCATATTGTCTAAATAAAATAGTTCAATAAATAGGTATTACTTTATAAAACAGATATAAAAAAGGGAATTAGTTACTATTGAATGAATTTGAAAATTATGGTAACAATGTACTAAATAATAATGTACAGGTTTTTCACAGACTTTACTAATGTTTGGTGTGGCGCAATGTCCTATGTGCTGGTCACTAGGTACTCATTGTGCCGCAGATCAAAACCAAGTTGCACTTTTTTTTTTACCCAATATTTTTATTATGAGAAATATAATATTAAAAATTATTTAGGTGTTTATACTAAAATATAAATTATTATATTTAATAATTGTATAGATATTATTTTTGACATTTTCATGGAAAAACGACTGAATAAATTTCGCGGTAATTTGATACAAAAATACCTCTAGATATCCTTTATTGGTTTGCAAACTATTGCAGTACGCAACAGGCGTAGCCATACAATTATTGATAATGAAAAACGAAGATTTTTCTGTAAGGTAAATGTACAGTGTTCCGGACTAGTACACAATTTTAAACGATACTCAATCGACTATAGTTGTATTGCAACCAAAATAATACAATTTTAAGCATACTTGGTAATTTTGATAGTGGATTGGGTAGTTTCGATAGTGAAACGTAAAGCACGAATTTGCAGAATCATTGAAATTTGCTTTGAAATGAAGAAAGAAATAAAGTTTATTGACCACACCTACATGAACACAATGATAATATATAAGAGAAGAAAAAAAAAACAAAAATACAAATATAAAAAAAAATATATAATGCAAATTTATATGAACATAAAATTGAAACATTAATAAACACATAGTTCCCTACATTACATTTGTTAAATTGGTTGATTGTTAAAAATAATTTAATCTGTTTGTACATTACTGTTATTTAATTATTATTATTGATATTTCAATCTGTACATAACAGAATATCGTCATGAATATGGCAGACGGTGTTTTTATGGGTGTAAAAAAGTGGAATTATGATTTAATTTTAAGAAAAGAAAACGTTTTTAATTTTTCTGAATATTTTTGTTGTCGATTATAAACACTTACAAGTACCAAGTAAGTACTTTTGCAATCAGAGTATAACACCCTATTATAAAAGCCGTGACAAGTTTTCGAACGTGACTGATACGATCGCACCGCTATTTCGTAAGACGTCGTTCTTTGACTTTCTTAAGATACTGGTAAATTTATTGAAATAAAATTTGTGAAGTCGTTTTAGCTATCAACAGAAGGTTATCAACAGAAGGTTTTATAATTAGAGAACTATATTTTTTTTAAATCTACTTTCCGCATCACGGACGCAAACCTGTGGCGTATGGTTACCGTAATAATTGAAAATCGCTCCAAAATGTTACTTAATTTTATTCCTAACTGAGGTTGGCATTAAAAAATTAGATGTGAATAATTCGGTAATCAGCATTGATTATTGTGACGTAAGTGTGGTAAAAGTTTTACGGTAAATTTTACAATTCAGTTTAACTCTAAGCACAGAGTTGAGGACAAGCTCGACATTCAAAGAAACGGGTGATTCTCTAGAATATCTAATCAGGACTCTGGGTCTGGGCAATCCCATTCTGAAAAGGGCAGGTTAGTGTAACTGGCCTATATGATAAAACCAGCTACGGTTCACCTCACATGGATGCATAACTTCAGTATCGGTATGAATATCAGAATCTTAGAACAAATTGTTGATGCCTGGGAGAATTCACACAACGTTTTAGGTGTTTTCTGTGACGTACTTAAAGCTGTCAATTATGGTGTTCATGAAATATATAACGAATCTTCATATTATGAATTTAGAGATAACTAGTTAGATTTTGCTGTCTCTTAGTTCAGTGGCTTTGTAGGAGGTTCATATCGGTGACAAGAAATCCCCTGAATCGATAGATCAACACCTATCATGGGTGTTTCACAGTGCTCAATGCTTCTTTTTAAATTATATAGACAAATTGCCTCGTTTGGTAAAGGATAATCACGAAATAGATTTGTTTACAGTGAGAATTCCGTGAAGTATAACTTCACTCTTATTTAAAATTAAAAGAGGACGACCAGTTAATGACGGTGTGAATAGTTCTATTCTCAAAGTAGTACATTGGTTTAATATCTTATGTGTTATTCACGTTGAATTTTAAGCCTTTCATCACTCATAATCTTGCTCCATGACTATCGCTTCATTTGCAGATTGAATGGATTCTATGTAAGCACTATGGTAGGTATCATCTGCATAAAGAAAGCAGCTTTAAACTGGCGATCCCAACGAAATTCATAAATTTTATTCTATAGAGGCAACTATTCAAATAATGTGTTGCTCAATAAATATCTTGAACAACCTCAAATAAGATGAAAGGTTGGGTTATACTAAGTTTTTGTTATTGTTTCATTTGGTCGTATTACTTTTTACTGAGGTTATGTTTGGCCAAAATACTTGTAAAGATAAATTACACCGTTATATTATTTGCCACTAGCTGGTGCCCGCATCTTCATTCGTGTTGTCTCATACCAAAGATTTTGTAAGCTTAAATTGTATGTTGTGGATTGAGTAGGTTATAACTTAATGAACCTGTAAAGGTAGAATTCTTTTTGTACCAAAATTCTACAGTCTGCTGACGATGCCAACGGTATATATGATTAACAATAATATTTAAGATGAAATTTATAAACTTTATTGGTGTTTTTTTATTCGGGTGCCAAAATATAAAGCCCAGAGACGTTGCTAACCCTTAAAGCAACAAGGCAAAGTTGGGCATTAGAAAAACAGGTAATTTTCAGTTCCACACCAGCAGCTTTTATTCTCTCAACAGCATATTGAAGTCGATCCGTGGTTTACTGTGCTGTTTTTATATCTTTGCGTACTTCAGAAATTGTTTCTATCTCATTTTCTGGTAGATCTAAAGATTTTGGGCAATGTATGATGATGGTCAGTTTTTCACTGGCTTAACTGGATTCTAGAGACCGAAGATTCTATCCGTTTTAATTCTTAGAAAATTTGATCATGTGTCAATGAATTTGATCAAATTCAAAATGGACGTCCATCCGGAAGCGAAGAAGTATGCGTGCTTTAACTACGTTATCCTCTCTGCTGAAATCTCCAAACATTCTTTCTTATCTTAACAGTACTTATGTACCTTTCAAACCAAAACTCTTTGTTCCTCCTCTAATCGTCTACTCTGCCCATCTCATTTCTCCGAAATCGTTC